GCAGACACACTGAGCTAAATCCCCGGCCCTTTGTTTTGTTTGTTTGTTTGTTTGTTTGTTTTTCTTACTGGGGCTCGAACTCAGGACCTTGCACTTGCAAGGCAGGCACCAGAACCACTGAGTTAAATCCCCAGCTGTTTTGTATTTTTGAGATAGGGTCTCACTGCGTAGTTCAGACTGACCTTGTATTCACTAAGTATACCAGGCCAGCCTCAAACTGCTAGTGATCCTTCTGCCTCAGCCTTCTGAGTACTGGGATTACAGGCTTATACCACCAAATCCAACCTCTTAAGTAATTCTTTTTTTCTGGTACCAAGGATTGAACTCAGGACCTTGCTTTTGTGAGGCAGGCACTATGCCACTGACCTAAATCTCCAGCCCCCCTCTTAATTCGTATTGGACAGATCTTCTTCCTTGATTTTTATGAGGTGTTTGGTTGGTTGGTTTCCTTTGTTTTGTGGTACTCAGGATGGAATCCAGGACCTTGTGCTTGCTAGGCAAACATTCTACCACTAAGGCACATCCTCAGCCCTCCTTCCTTGTGTTTTGAAACACATAGTAAGCATTAAAAAGATGTTCAGTATTTATAAAGCATATGCTGTGATCTTACTTGGATGCCACTTTGGCACATCAAAGTTGAAATTAGACAGTTTTGAAAATCCTTTGTCCTGTAGTGGCCAAGATAGGAAGGTGGATCAGACTGACAAGTGGTTTCCAGCTGTGTCAGAGACCATGTCCCATTGCCTGGCTGGACTATGGAGATGCTGTTTTAAGGATCAGGGAGCTCTGCCTGAATGGGTCCAGAGTGCCAAACTGAGGCTTCCTGATAGATGAACAGGATGGGCACACATTTAATTTCAGACTTGTTGAGCTTATGTCTAGAGTTCCTCCTCCTTTTCATCCAGGAAGTGAGAGATTATATTAAAAGATTCAGTCCAGCTGAAGCCATACAACAACTGGATAAAATGTGTCTCAAATAGCGGGTAATGATGGCACACCCCTGTAATCCCAGCACTCTGCAGACTTAGGCAGGAAGATTATGAGTTCAAGACCATCCTGGGCTACAAAGTGAGATGCTTTTTCCAACAAAAAAAGATGTATCAAATATTATTGTAAAACTTTAAGGGCCGGGTTGCCTGCTTCACAAGTGCAAGGTCCTGAGTTTGATCCCCGGTACCAAAAAAATAAAGATGTTATGCTTAGTGATTTAGTGAGATCTTTTCTCAAAATAAAAAAGGGCTGGGAGTGTAGCTCAGTGTGAAAGCCCTGGGTTCAATGCCCACTTATCCCCTCACACACACGATATTTGGCCTGCCCTAATATTTTCTGAGTAACCACTGAGTGAGTGTGTGCTAAATCTCTTATAACTTAAATCCTCTTCAGGAAGTATAATGTATTTACCAGTTTGGAAATTTGATTCTTTTACTTGAAAAGTGAAAAATGCTTTGAAAAAATTCACTTCATTTTTCTTTGGCCAAAACTGCTTAACTTGATTATCTATATTGATATTATTCCTTTGTTAGAATTACTAATATCTTCAAGTACAGAGTTTACATTGTCTGTATTGCTGTCTGGATCAGTTTGAGTCTTCTCAATTCTCTTTGTTTTAAATCTTCATAGGCAATAGTAAAGGTTTTTGTTGTTTTTTTTTTTTTTCCTCTGTGAATCTGTTGTTCATGGGTCTCTTATAAGACATAGCAACTTTGTACATTTTAGGTACTGAGTATTGAATGTGTTTATAGTAGGGCTTCTGGCAAAGCACCCTACTCTTGCATTATTTCATGTTCTCCTCATCCTTGGAAAGCCTTAGTGGGCAGCCTGGCAACCATGCCTAACTTCAGGCTCTTTGAAAAGAGCTGTTCAGGAAGCATATTGCCCTGTTGTGATTTATGTTATCTTTCCTTTCCTATTCAAAGTAAAAAGAACACATTTTCCTTTCTAAGGAAGGCTTTTTTTAGAAAATCCAATATTCACCCCTTTTACCTATGAATCTAGTTTTTAAAATAGGGACCTGCAGGCAAGAGGTCAGTGTGTTAGAATAACAAGGTCTCTGCGGGTGTATGAGCTAGAGGATGGTGATGACTCTTTCCTAAAAGTCACTGGCTTTGCATGTAATGGACTCCTTAGGTGGCATCACACAGATTGCTATTTCAGAAGAAAGCATGGAAGAGGCGGGGCTGGAGTGGAACTCGGCACTCACTGCTGCTGTCACCATGGCCACAGAGGAGGGTGTGAAGAAAGACTCCGAGGAAATTTCAGGTACCTTCCTGCGCAGCTCAGATCTCTTGCAGACTTTTCTGACCCTTGTCATCACTAGATTATAGAGAAAGAAGACCTGTTAATTACTTTTGCTGGTTTTTCTCATTCATAGGAATACTAACTATAGCTACAAACATTTTATTTTAATCCATGTAACTGCCCTGCTAAGTCACATTTTATACAGGAAGAAACTGGGATTCAGAAAGGCTCACCAGCTGCCTAAGACCGGTCACACCACCAATAAGTGTCGGAACTGAATTCAGCTGTGCAACTGTAGTCCATGCTTTTTTTCTCCTATCAAACTAACCCCAACTTTGGCACATTTCTTAGGTAAACCAAGCTTCAAGACGTTAGAAGAAAAACTAGGTAGCAGGTGGTATAGAGGATGATAATTAATGATCCACTGAAAGGGGACCAGAAGAGGTTCATATCATCCTCTACTTATTGATTAGATTGATATTTATTATTGCCTATTTTTTTAGTTGGCTGTGTTGTTAGAAGCTAGGTACATAGCCACCACCTGCAGGGAGTTTAAAGCCCTATCAATCCAAATAGGTTTTTTTTTTCTTAAGTATAGAACTAGGGTTAGTATATCTTTTTATTAGTATTTACTTTAATATCTTCATTATCTAAGTTTTACAATAGTTAATATATACTGCAAATTAAATTTGAATGTAATCAAATAATATTTGATATTTAATGCTTGTTTAAGATTTAACTTAATGTCTTTTTGTGTGTGTGTGGTGCCAGGGATCAAACTCAGGACCTTGCACTTTTGAGGCAGGCATGGTGCCACTGAGCTAAATCCCAGCTAACTTAATGTCTTTAGTGAAGGAGCATGTCTGTTTTTATAGCCAGAGCCATTACAAATTGAGGGAATGATAAATTGAACAATCATCCCATGCCCTTAAAAGTCCAAAAGGGTCAGCTAATTAGGTACTAACTCAGGGAGGCAGTTAATGTTCCCAAAGTTGCTTTCCTCTGCCCAAAAATGGCCTAACAAGGTCTTTCTGAACTGAAATATTTTCTTTTTTTTTTGGTACCAGGGATCGAAGTTGGGACCTTGCGCTTGCAAGGCAAGCAGCAGAACCACTGAACTAAATCCCCGGCCCAACTGAAATATTTTCGATTTAACATTGTGCCTAGGTATCTTGTTGCATCCTTTGTTCACCTCTGTCTTATCCCTCTTGTGCCAGAGGACACTTTGATGTTCTGGAAAGGAATAGCTGATGTAGGGCTGATGGAAGAGGTTGTCTGCAATATCCAGAAGGAAATAGAGGAGCTACTCAGGGGAGTTCAGCAGCGGCTTCTCCAGGCTCCCTTCCAGGTCACAGGTATGCATGCGTGCTGACCCTAACAACAGTGGTCATTTATTGAGTACTTGTAAGGGTAGGCAGGTCCTGTTAGCCTCACTACAACACTGATGTACACTTTTTTTTTTTGGTATTGGGGATTGAACTCGGGTCCTTCCACGTGCAAGGCAAGTGGTGGAACCACTGAGCTAAATCCCCAGCCCTATACAGACATTATTATCTTCATTATACAGAGAAGAAAACGAGGTTTGTAAAAGTTAAGTCACCTATTCCATACTCCAAATGCATTTTTTTGTTTGTCTGTTTTGAGACAGGGTCTTGCTGTGTAGTTCAGGCTGGCCTTAAAATGGTGGCAGTTCTTCTGCCTCAACCTCCCTCATGCTAGGATTACAGGAATATGCTACCACACCCAGCTATATTTTGTTTTGAGACAAGAAAAGATCTCACTATGTAGCCCAGGCTAGCTTTGAATTCTAGGTGATCCTCCTGCCTAAGCATCTCAAGTCTGGGATTACAGGCCTGTCACCATGCCTAGCTCTGCCTGGGCAACTCAGAGAGACCCTGTCTCAAAAAATAAAAAGTATAGGGATGTAATTCAGTGTGAAGTCTCTGGGCCCAAACCCCAGTAGTACAAAAAACAAAAAAGAAAGAAAAAAAATCACTCTAGTTGCTCTGCAGATGGCTGACTATGAGAGAAGAGTGAAAATAAAAAGACCATTGGAAAATTTAAAAAGAGTAGTCTGTGGGCCAGGGTTTTAGCACAGTGGTTCCCCTGCTTGCCTCATAAGTGCAGGGTCTGGAGTTTGATCCCCGGTACCAAAAAAAAAAAAATTAGTCTGGGCAAGAAATGATGCAGCATGGCCCCAGCATGATGGCGCACACCTCCCTAACACATCTCAGTGTTAGGGAGGCTGAGGCAGGAGGATCACCTAGAGTTCAAGGCCAGTCTGGGCTACACAGTGAGATCCTGTCTCAAAATAAACAAAGAGAAATGATGTGGCATCTATCAGAGTACATAATGGTATACCTGGAAAATGATCAGATTGGGAGTGTATTTTTCTGTTCTTTTTTTTTGTTTTTCCTCATTGAGTTTATTGGTACATTTTAGGTATACAGTACAGTTACATTCATCATTGGGATCTTGTACCTTTACATGACAGGTCTTGGTTCTCATTTTTTCCCCTTGTCCCTGCCCTCCCTTCACCTCCTCCTTCCCTTTTCTGTTCTTTTTTGAAGTGGAATCTCACTGAGTGACCTAGGCTGGCCTAGAACCTTGCACTCCTCCTGGTTCAGCCTTCCATATAGCTGAGACTACAGGTCTGTGGTAGTGTTACCTGCTGGGGAGATGTATTTTGAATATGGAACTTACATTGTTTCTCAGCCTTTTGGCTAAGATCAAGTGAATATGGAGCTGACAGATCTTGCTGATGGATAGGATGTGGGGTGAAAGGACAAGAAAGAGATGCAGGATAATTCATAATTTTTTGACCTGAGCTATGAGTGGTAAGCCATTTATTTACTGTTTTCCCCTCTTTTTTGGGTGCTGGGGATTAAACCCAGGGCCTTATATATGATGATGACGATGTCATTTATTGAGCTAAAACACCAGGGAAGGAACAAATTTAGAGTAAATTAAAATTAGTTTTTGGTATGTTTGATTGAGATGGCTGTGAGATCTGTCAATAGAGATCACTTAGAAGTGTGTAGAAACACGGAAGAAGTTAGGGCTGGAGAATTACACAAGGGAGTTCTTAGCACAGACCACATGTTATTTAAAACCATAGAGCTGGGCACAGTGGTGTGGGGGAGCCTATAGTCCTGGCTACTTGGGAGGCTGAATCAGAAGGATCACTTGAGCACAGGATTTTGGAGCCAGTGTGAGACCACCACTCAAAAACTGTGGAACTGAGTGAGATGCCCATAAGTGAAGTAGTCTGAGTTAAAAGGTAATCAGGCCAGACGTGGTGGAACATGCCTATAATCCCTGCACTCAGGAGGCTGAGGCAGGAGGATCGCTGTGAGTTCGAGACCAGACTGGGCTACATAGTGAGTTCCAGGTCAGTCTCAACTACATAGTAAGACCCTGTCTCAAAAAAATGAAAAAAAGAAAGTAATCAGGCCAGGAATTTAGCTCAGTGGTACCATGCCTGCCTCGAAAGTGTAAAGTCCTGAGTTCGATCCCCAGTACCAAAAAAAAGCAAGTAATGACCACACAAATACTGACAATTCTTTCAGCAATTTTTTTTTTTGGTACTGAGGATCAAACTCAGGACCTTGTTCTTGCCAGGCAGGTGCTGTGCTGCTGAGCTAAGTCCTTGGCCCATCTTTTAGCAAGTTTTGTAGAGGGGAAAAGCATGATGCTATAATAATAATTTTATACCCTGTTTCCCCAAAAATAAGATCTCCCAGGAAAATAAGTTCTAGGACAATTTTAGAAGAGACATCCCTAAAGCAGAATGAATGTAACTGTATTGTATACCTAAAAAGTACCAATAAACTTAATGAAAAATGAAAAAGCAATAAAAGAATAAATCTTATTAAACCTTTACCCTTCAGGACATTTTTAAAAGTAGACCATGTGACTAAATGGGAAGCGGGCAAAGAACCGGTATCTAACAAACTGGGATGGCTGCCCTAAGGGAGCACTGTGTACCTAACAAATAGCGAGTGCGATGCTTTTGCTGGCTGTGGACACTTTGTCTTCTTGGACCCCATCCTTCAAGAAAAGATAGAAAAATTGTTTTATACCTGCATGGGTATTATATATATGTATTATATAATATATAGTCTCAATAGGTTGCCTAGGCTGATCTTGAACTTCCAATCCTCCTGTCTCGGAGGAACAAGTAGTTTTGTTTTGTTTTTGGTACAGGGGATCGAACTCAGGTCCTTGTGCTTACAAGGCAGGCAGCGGAACCACTGAGCTAAATCCCCGGCCCCTCAGACTCTCAAGTAGTGAGGATTACAGGTGTACACTGCCATACCCAGTTAGTAAATATATAATCTTATCTATTAAAATATATTCTTGAAATTAAACAAAACAATAAAACAATTATATATGTGGTAAATCTTTGTAAAAATAACTTATTAAAAGTTATACAGGGCTGGGAATTTAGCTCAGTGGTTCCGGTGCCTGCTTTACAAGCACAGGAACCTGAGTTCGATTCCCGGTGCCAAAAAAAAAAAAAGTTATGCAGTAAGGCCGGGCATGGTAATACACCCCTAAAATCCCAGCACTCAAGAGGCTGAGGCAGGAGGATCTCCATGAATGCCAGGCCAGCCTAGGCTACATAGTAAATTCAAAGCCAGCCTCTGTACAAAGTGAGACCCTGTCTCAAAAAAACAAGAACAAGGGCAAGAGATTTAGCTCAGTGGTTCCACCGCCTGCCTTGAAAGTGCAAGGACCAAAGTTTGATCCCCAGCACCACCTCCAAAAAAAAGAACAAAGTAATGCATGAAGAGCCAGGGCTGGTGGTATACAAGTATAATCCCAGTACTCTAGAAGACTAAAACAGGAGGATCACAAATTCCAGCCCTGCCCAGGATGGGATAATTTAGCAATTTAGAGTTTCTTTTTTTGTTGTTGCTTTTTTTTTGTACCAGGGATTGAACTTGGGTCCTTATGCTAATGAGGCAGGCGGTGGCACTCCTGAGCTAAATCCCCGGTGGTGGTATTGCTTTTTGAGACAGTTTCACTATGCAGTTCAACCTGGCCTTGAACTCAGTACATAGCCTAGGCTGCCCTCAAACTTGCAGCAATCCTCCTGCCTCAGGCTCCCAAGGGCTGGGCTGACAGGCATGCACACCTTGCCTACCTTTGAGACAATATTAAGAAAAAAAACAAGCAGAGCATGGTGGCAAACACCTGTAATCCCAGTGCTCTGGGCAGCTGATCCAGGAAGATCACTGTGACGAGCCTAGGCTACATAGTTCAAGACGAGCCATCATAAATAGTGAGACAAAAAGGCCGGATGTACACAGAAGCGATGAGAGTGCCATAATTTCTGGGTTGTTTCATATTTCTCAGCAGCAAAACAGGGAGCTGGAGGAACATTTCTGTTTGAATTTTACAGGCATGTATTCTGTTTTAAATAGATGCTGCTGCCCTCAACAATGTAGCGCATACATTTGGCCTAATGGACACAGTCAAGAAGGTTTTGGACAACAGAAGGAACCAGGTAGAACATGGAGAAGAGCAGTTTCTCTATACTCTGACAGGTGTGTAACTTTCTTCTGTTCTTAGCAGACAGCATGCTCATTTCCATGAATCTTTCCATTTTCTTGTTGACTTCAGTTAGGACTTTTAAAAAAGTTGCATATAATCAGATTTTGCTTTTTGAAAGAAAAACAGCTCCAGGTGAATGGGGTGGTGGGAAGCAAAGGCGGCACAAAGTAAAAGAACCCAGTGATGGCCCTCCTCCATTTCTTTTGGGGAATTAGAGTCTGCTAGACACTGCACGCCTGTAATCCCAGGGGGAGGCTGAAGCAGGAAAATTGCTATGAGTTCAAGGCCAGCCTGGGCTGCATAGCGAGTTCCAGGTCAGTCTCAACTACATAGTGAGACCCTGTCTCAAAAAAAAAAAAAAAAAAAAAAAAAAAAAAATGCTGGGGTGTAGCTTCATGTGAAGGGCCTGGGTTCAATCCCTTAGTGTCACAAAAAAACGAAAGCAAATCTACACTTTGTAATAGCAGAAAGAAAAGCAGCAGCAGCAGCTTTTGGTACAAAAAGATGCCAAATAAGCCAGAGATACGGATTATGAGATTTTCAATACTTTAGAACATAATCATAGTCAGTCATGAAGCCAAAAGGAAAGAAAAATCTATTGGTGAAAGGATAGTTTATGTTGTAACAAACTTACTTTTATATCCAGTTTATATTTTAAACTTAGTTTATTGAGTTTGCTCGGTGCCCTGAGAATTTAAGGATGGGTGGTGTCTCTGGGCCCCTGCGGGCACTGAGGATAAATGATTTATCTGAATTCACTTCCCTCTCGGCAGAGAATTCTTGAGGAGATTGTTGTCCAGTGCTTTCTCTGACGTAGAACTTTAAACCATCAGAAGAATGGTTCTTATTAGAAATGTGAAGGGCCGGGATTTAGCTCAGCGGTTTGGTGGCCCGCTTTGCAAGCACAAGGACCCGAGTTCAATTCCCGGTACCAAAAAGAAAAAGAAATGCGGGCTTCCAGGAGTTCCTTGTTGAATCTCTTTTTTTCCTCTCTGTTTCTCCCTCTCTCTCCTTTTTCCCGCCCTGTCTGTCCTTCCATCTTTCCTTCTCATTCCCTTGCTCCCTTTATCTCTCTCTCCCTCTCCCTCTGTCTCTTTCTCTCTCATGCATGTATGCACACATTTTCATTCTAAACCCAGCTGTATCTCCAGCCCTTTATTTTATTTTATTTTATTTTTTATTTTGAGACTAAGTTGTCCAGGCAGGACTCAAATTTATGATCCACCTGCCTCAGCCTCCTAAAGTGTTGGGATTACAGGTGTGCACCACCACACCCAGCTTTTATTTATTTATTTATTCATATTTTGAGATGGCATCTTCCTGTGTTTCCCTGGCTGGCTTCAAACTCCTGGTCTCAAGTTATCCTCCTGCCTCGCAAATAGCAGATCATAGGTGTGAGCCACTGTACTGAGCTTATGTTTTTAGTTCTGATTGTGATATAACACGAGCCCCTGCCTGTGGGTACCTGCTTCTTGTCCCAGCACTCTGGGAAGCTAAGGCAGGAGGATTACAAATTCAAGTCCAGCCTGGGCAACTTACTCACTTAGTGAGACCTTGTCTCAAAATAAGAATAAAGAAGGGCGGAGCATGTAGGTCTCTACAGAGGCCCTTGGTTCAGTCTCCAGTACCGGGGAAAAAATTATAACATGAACTTTTATTTTCTGCCTTTTCACCATGTCAGATTAATATTTTCCCAGATGATTTTTTTTTTTTTTCAGTACCAGAGATCGAACTCAGGTACTTGTGCTTGTGAGGCAGGCAGCGGAACCACTGAGCTAAATCCCCAGCCCTCTTCCCAAATTATTCTAAAATATTTTACCTGAACATTTTTCTAGGGATGACATTTAAATTTTATAAACTTTCATTCATAGTCCTGGTTTGTTGTGGTAAATTTGTTTGACTGTAGCTTTTTTTTAATGTCCTAAATTAACTTCCTAAGACTAAACTTGAGGTTAAATAATATTGATAATTTTTTATGGATTTTTGTGATATATTATCAATTCCCAATAAGATTATGCCAATTTGTGTCACCAGTTTGAGCATATCAACAATAGTCTTTTTTTTTTTTGGTTTTTGCGCCAAGGTCTCACTATGTAGTTGAGACTGACATGGAACTCACTGTGTAGCCCAGGCTGGTCTCGAACTCACAGCGATCTTCCTGCCTCAGCCTCCTGAATGCTGGGGTTACAGGCCTGTGCCACCATGCCTGGCGATAATAGTCATTATTGTTTTTTATTCCTTGGGTTTTTGTTTGCGTTTCTTGCGCTTTACTAATGATTGAACTCAGGGTCTGACTATCACTGTGCTACATCCCTAGCTATTTTATTTATTTATTTATCCTCGCTATTTTATTTAATTAATTAATTTTTTTTTTTTTTTGTATCAGTGATTGAACTCAGGACCTTGAGCTAGTGAGGCAGGTGCAGCTAAATCCGTGGCCGGAGCTATTTTAATTTTTTCATTCTGAGACAGGTTCTTGCTAAGTCGATAAGTTGCCCAGACTAGACTCAAACTTGTGATCCTCCTACCTCAGACTTATAGAGTCCTGGGATTAGAGGCTTGTGCTACCTGTTTCAAGTGCACATTTCTTTAATTA